TGTCAGTTGGACAAACTGATGCTAAGAAGATACCTGTGTTATTATAATTTTGGCAAGTGCTTGAATTTTCTCCTGGCATCACTAGAAAGAAGGCCTTGCATACATAAGTTGCCAGGCAAAAACTTTCCTCTAAAACCAGACCTTTGATGTTGTAACTATTAGTGGCCTATTACTGGGATGTTTTTAATGTATTTCTTTTCCCTCTTCATTTTAATGTATCTATGTGGGGTTTTTGTCTGTTCATTTGGTCGTTTGCAAATTACTTTGGGTTGCCCTGGGCAAGATAAAACTACCAACAAATCCAAATAACAACAACAACAACAACACAACAAGTGTGTGTGTGAGAGAGAGCACATCCTACAAACAGCATACTATTTTAAATTCCTGCTAGGGGCACAATAATCCAGTCCTTACAAGTAGGACCTGCAACAAAAAGTTGCAGTGCAGAGTCCATTGTTCCACCCTGGTGTGCCTTCTCCAGGATACTCCAGTCCAGTCTGTCAGTATATTGTGGCTCCTAAGCATCCTCAGTCCTCATTGGGCTGTTTTTGGAAAGATTCCACTCCACATATGATTCCAGCCATAAACAATTTCCATAAACATTGCAAATTTCAGGGTCCCAAGTAAACATGCACAGGTTAGATGGTTGCACTCCTATGTATTCTCTTACCAGAGAGTAATCTCCTTGAATACAACCAGGCTTACTTTCCAAGTAAAAACATGAATCAGATTATGTTGCAAACCATCTTATTTTTTCCTATTTTTTCTGATTAAAGGCGCAGTCGCCTCCCCATAACAAAAATTGTGATGACAGATGCAAAACATGAATTATTATTTTTTTAAGCAAATTGCTCCCGCCACTCACTGGCATTTATCACCAAGGCTGCCTCAGTAAAGCAAATCTGAATATTCCAAGAGACTACCTTAAGCCACCTCAGAACAATTCTACACCACCTTTAATCCAAATCCACCTGCAGTAAACAACCTCATTTTGCTGGGCTCTTGAGTGATAGCTTATGACATGTTTCGCTATACTCTAATCAACCATTCAAAAGCATTTTCTGAGGCACTGCTTCCCAACGTAATCTCTTCTGCTTAACATCAAAATTATCTGCTGGTCTCAATATAGTAAGTTACAGAGTCATCCCTGGGAAACGATGAGTGTTCTCTGCCTCAAAGTACTGCACATACATTAAATAATCAATTATAGCTCCGTGTGCACTAATAGATACTGCAGCTTGACTTGATCAGAGCTGTTGCACCTTGGAAACCAATTTCACACTGAAATGCTGCCTGTGTGTTTATTCCGGCTACTGTTTTGCAATTGGTGCGTGATGTGTACAACAGAGGCCATCATAACAATATAATTCTTCCAACCACAGTAACAAAACAGCCTTAAAACCCAGAGCAGGTAAATTGTTCTGCAGTCACAATTAGAATGTATTATGCAAAGGAGAACTCCAGCAGGTTTGGATTTTCCCACTCAATCTGCATAATATTTGCATGAGCTTAATAGACTAATTTAATCTTGCTAGCCAAACTGTCAGCCCATGAAGGAGGGGGAACCCAGAGCTGGTGAATAGTTTATTTTCTTTAAAAAAAAATAATACTGACTTTTAGATACACTATAACATGTCCCAGTTTTGTTCCCAAAATGGCACTGACTTGAACAAGAGGGAGGTATCCACAGAATCAGAGGAAATATTTGCAAAAGTCCAAAAAAAACCCTTTATTTAAAAAATCCACGATAGGGAGGTCCTTGCATCAAAGACTGTTGAATAGAAGCTCCCAGAGGAAACCCTTAGACCACCAGAGCCTGTAGAGCCAGAACCCAGACTCTCTCAAGCGCCTTCCTCCGAGGAACAAGATGCTTCCCCCCACAAATCACCAGTCCCGTGGGCACAGGGAACTCTCCAGGAGGGAGGCTATAGAATGGAAGGCATGCAGTGGGGCAGGAAGCACATCTAAAGAGAGGTTCTGAAACAGGAGTGGAGTGGAGCCTGAAAACCTTTGTGGAGAAAGTTGCTCACTTGGAGCTCTCTGTGGTCCTGCATTTCCTGATGAGCTTGCCTCTTTCTCCATGGAATATGATGGAAGACTTCATCTATTCAATGCCTCTGGGAGAGCTTCAAAGACTTGATAATTTTATTTAATGGGAGTTATAGTTCCACAAGAGGGACGCGGGTGGCGCTGTGGGTTAAACCACAGAGCCTAGGGCTTGCTGATCAGAAGGTCGGCGGTTCAAATCCCCGGGACGGGGTGAGTTCCCGTTGCTCGGTCCCAGCTCCTGCCAACCTAGCAGTTTGAAAGCACGCCAGTGCAAGTAGATAAATAGGTACCGCTCTGGCGGGAAGGTAAACGGCGTTTCCGTGCGCTGCTCTGGTTCGCCAGAAGCGGCTTAGTTATGCTGGCCACATGACCCAGAAGCTGTACGCCGGCTCCCTCGGCCAATAAAGCGAGATGAGCGCTGCAACCCCAGGGTCGGCCACGACTGGACCTAATGGTCAGGGGTCCCTTTACCTTATAGTTCCACAACATCTGGAGAACCACAGGTTGTGGCATGACCCCTGAATGCAGAAGCAAACCAGACACAGAATCTGAGGCAGCAGCTAAGGAGGCTGATCAAGTTCAAGGCTTTGAACTGATTGTGACTGAAGCTGTCAGACAATAACCTTTCAGTCTGCCAGGACCAGAGCCTGGACCCTCATGAGTGCCTTATACTGAGCTTGAGGAACCACTGCATTCATCAGTCCTGCATTTAAGCTAGTGAAGTGGTCCTTTAAGATTCTGAAGGTCTCTACAAGCTGGTGGAGCCTGGGGAGGTATTCTGGAGATGAAGGGTTAGACCACATTTGCACGAATCACTTAAAGCACTAAGATACCACTTTAAACAGGCATGGCTACCTCCAAATAATTTTGTAAGCCTTTAGTAAAGGGTGCTGAGAGAGACACCCCACCTCATTACCCTCAGAGAGATACAATTCTCAGAGTGGTTTAACAGTCAGTTCTTCTTATGAGGAAACTGTAGCTCTGTGAGAGGAATAGAGTCTCCTAAGGACTCTCAGCACATTTAACAAACTACAGCTCCTAGAATTCATTGAAGGAAGACATGAGCATATAAAGTGGTGCTTTAAGAGTATGGTGTGAATATAGCCAAAAAAGGCCTCAGTATGCTCCCAACTTTATGTGAACAAGTTGTTCACTTGGAGCTATCCATGGTCTGCAACCTTTGACTCACTGCTTTCTTTGTGAGATCTGGCCTCAATAGGACTGCCGTACATCCAGATTTCCGCAGACATTATTGGGATTTCAAAGGTGGAATTGACATCCAGGGATAAATTTCTGAAAGGTGGCACTTTGTCCTGGATCTTAGGCAAGTCAATCAGGAAAAAAAAAACCCCTCAACAACTTTCAGGGTGTCCTGGTTTTTACTTTTTGAAATATGGCAATCCTAGCCTCATATCTGTACAGCATCTATATTTTTTTTTGGGTGGGGGGAGACGATGACTTTATGATTCTTAAAAAATGTGTGTGTAATACCCAGAAGGTAAGCCCCACTGAATACCCCCAGAAAATTGTTTATAGGCCTTAATTTTCATTGTCTCAGAATCCACAACTGGTGAATGGTAATAGCATGCATGAATTTATTGAAATGCAATTTCACATAAGTGAGTCACAATAGCACCATCCCCCTGACACCCTCTCAAACTATAATGTATTGGGTTTAAAAGAGTGTGAGAGAGAGAAAAAACCTAAACTGCCCACTATGCCAAAGTGCAAACCATGAAGCTCACTGGGTAAGTCACCATCTCTCAGCCCTAAACTACTTCACAAGGTTGTTACGCAAATAATATAGAGAAGGGAAGAGCTTTGTGCACCACCCTGAGCCTTGGGAGGAAAGGTATGATATAAAAAGCAAAAATAAAATATGCACACAACTTAAGTCTGCATCCAGCATGTAACAGAATTTTGGTGCATTCAATCATATACACCTAATTATGTTGTGTGTCTTCTCCTCCCTCTTATTCTCTTCTGTATTCCATTGTCTTCAACCAACTACCTACCTTATTATAAAGATAAAGGTAAAGGGACCCCTGACCATTAAGTCCAGTCACGGATAACTCTGGGGTTGCGGCGCTCATCTTGCTTTACTGGCCAAGGGAACCGGTGTTTGTCCGCAGACAGCTTCCAGGTCATGTGGCCAGCATGACTAAGCCGCTTCTGGTGAACCAGAGCAGCACACAGAAATGCCGTTTACCTTCCCGCTGGAGTGGTACCTATTTATCTACTTCCACTGCGTGCTTTCGAACTGCTAGGTTGGCAGGAGCAGGGACCGAACAACGGGAGCTCACCCCGTCGCAGGGATTCAAACTGCAACCTTTTGATTGGCAAATGCTTTTTTTTCCTAAAAAAAAAATGTTTAGGGGTACTCTCATTTTGACTCAAGAAAATCACCATTTTATAGTTCAAATTGGGAAAAACAAATACAGTAAATGGACAAAAGTACAAAGATTCACAAAATGTTTAGGGGTATGCATACCCCTGAGTCCCCCCAGAAAAAAACACTGCTTTTATCTATTTCTATTAAACTTATGACTTATTTCCCTCTTATATTTGCATATTTTTTTTCAAAAACGCTATTTTCTGTGCATGCAAAATCAAAACCGTTATATATACCCTGTATATTTTCTCCCCCCCCAAAAAAAAGACATTTACAGAAAGAAGCATAAATAAATAAAATTTATTTGAAAGGGAGAGAGGGCCGAGCAAGAGGAGGGAACAGCCAGGGAAAACATTCCCTACCTGAAGCAGGTTGCCCAAAGGAAAAAGCCCCGCCTCTTCTAGAAGCCTGAGAGGCTTCCAGCTGCTCTTGGCGAAGCCAGCCAATCAGCGAGGAGCAAAAAAGGAAGGAGGAGGCGGGGTCGAGGGAGGGGCCGGCGCGAGGTGCGTTCAAACCTGGCCAATGAGCGGGTGGCGGGCGTGGCCAGACCCGAGAGGCGAATGAGCGCGGCCGTTATTACGAGGTGGGCTGTGTTCCCGGAAGCGGGTCGAAGGGAGCTCGGCTGTTCTTGCGCGCTTAGCCTTCTGAGGGGGTAAGTGGGAGCGGAGAGGCGGCTGAGGGCGGGTTGGCGCCGGGAGGGGAACCCGGGCGGCTGAGGGCGGCGCCCTGGCGCAAGGAGCCGGCTGTGGGCGAGGAAAGAAGCGGCTCTTCCCTCCGTTCAGTTCCCGCTTCCTGTGCTGGGAAGCGGCTGTTGACGTTTGGATGGGTGGGGCGCGGCTTCCCTTCCCCGCGGAGGGATGGAGGGCTCTTGAGTTAGGGCTGCCTTGGAGTGTTGGCCGCACTCGGAGCAGACCCGTTGGAATGAATGGGCGTGACAAACCTGGGTCCATTCATTCATAATAATAATAACAATAATTTATTTATACCCCGTCCATTTGGCTGGGCTTCCCCAGCCACTCTGGGCGGCTTTCAACAAAATATTAAAATACAATAATGCATCAAACAAAAGGGTGGCTCAGTGGGTTAAACCACAGATCCAAGGACTTGCTGATCAGAAGGTTGGCGGTTCAAATCCCCACGACGGGGTGAGCTCCCATTGCTCGGTTCCTGCTCCTGCCCACCTAGCAGTTTGAAAGCATGTCAAAGTGCAAGTAGATAAATAGGTACTGCTCCGGCGGGAAGGTAAACGGCGTTTCCGTTCGCTGCTCTGGTTCGCCAGTAGCGGCTTAGTCATGCTGGCCACATGACCCGGATGCCTCGGCCAATAAAGCAAAATGAGCGCCACAACCCCAGAGTCATCCACGACTGGACCTAATACTCGGGGTCCCTTTACCTTTACCTTCAGTAGCTTAGGGCCTCATCAAACCTAAATCCAGCCCTGATCATCATCACCATCAACTAGTTGGGGGTCCCTTTACCTTTAATGCATCAAACATTAAAAGATTCCCTAAACAGGGGTGCCTTCAAATGTCTTCTAAAAGTCTGGTAGTTGTTTTTCTCTTTGACATCTGGTGGGAGGGCGTTCCACAGGGCGGGCACCACGACTGAGAAGGCCCTCTGCCTTGTTCCCGGTAACTTGGCTTCTCGCAGTGAGGGAACCCCTAGAACGCCCTCGGCGCTGGACCTCAGTGTCCAGGTAGAACGATGGGGGTGGAGACGCTCCTTCAGATATAGATTCATAGGATTGGAAGGGGCACAAAGGGTCATCTAGTCCAACCCCCTGAAATGCAGGATATATTCAGCTAAATCAGTGGTTCCCCAATCTTGGCTGGGGGGGGCAGGGAGCGACTGCCTCCCCACCTTGGCTAAGCCCATACTCCAGTTAACTCCTGCCTGTGTACCTTCTGCAGACCCTCAGCCCAGTCTCCCTATCTAAGCTGTGAGGCTCTTTCCTTTTGCTGAAGATCAGCGGTTCTCAACCCTTTTTTTGCCCACCTAAAGGTAAAGGGACCCCTGACCATTAGGTCCAGTCGTGACCGACTCTGGGGTTGCAGTGCTCATCTCGCTTTACTGGCTGAGGGAGCCGGCGTACAGCTTCCGGATCATGTAGCCAGCATGACTAAGCTGCTTCTGGCGAACCAGAGCAGCACATGGAAACGCCGTTTACCTTCCTGCCGGAGCGGTACCTATTTATCTACTTGCACTTTGATGTGCTTTCGAACTGCAGTGGTGCCTTGCAAGACGAAAAACTCGCTAGACGAAAGGGTTTTCCGTTTTTTGAGTCGTTCCGCAAGACGAATTTTATGGGCTTGCTTCGCAAGACGAAACACCTTGCGAGTTGTTGCGAGTTTGTTTCCTTTTTCTTAAAGCCGCTAAGCCGTTAATAGCCACTAAGCCGCTAATAGCCGCTAAGCTGCTAATAGCCGTGCTTCACAAGACGAAAAAACCGCAAGACGAAGAGACTCGCAGAACGGATTAATTTTGTCTTGCGAGGCACCACTGTGCTAGGTTCACAGGAGCAGAGACCGAGCAACGGGAGCTCACCCCACCACGGGGATTTGAACCGCCAACCTTCTGATCGGCAAGCCCTAGGCTCTGTGGTTTAACCCACAGCGCCACCCGCGTCCCTTTGCCCACCTAAGCATCTCTAAAATCCTGACCATATATAATTCTTATTATTCAGAAAGTGAACTCCGTGGAGGAAGCCTAAAAGGCCATTAACTGTTAATAACTCATTCTCAAATTGCCCCCCTTAAAAATCAAATTGCTCCCCCTGTGGGGCGTGTGCCCCACATTGGGAACCATGGGGCTAAAGCATCCACTGACAGATGGCCACCCAACCTCTGCTTTAAAACCTCCAAGGAAGGAGAGTCCACCACCTCCCGAGGGAGTCCGTTCCACTGCCGAACAGCTCTTAACATCAGAAAGTTTTCCCGTATGTTTAGTCGGAATCTCCGTTCTTGTAACTTGGTTCAAGTCCAGCCCTCCGGAGCAGAAGAAAACAAGCTTGCTCCATTCCAATGGGACCAATTCTTGAATATCATCATTATTTATTAGGTGCCCTCTTGCACTCCAGTGCCTCAAAGCGACTTACGGAGCAAAATGATATGAATGGACACAACTATATTGGAATTGTAGGATTGTAGAGTTGGATGGGACCGCTAGGGTCATTTAGTCCAACCTCCTACAATGCGGGAAACTTTAGCCCAACCCTTATACCCACAACCCTGAGATCAAGTATTTCATGCTCTACCAACTGAGCTTATCCGGTGGTTAGGTCCATTTATGCCAATGAGACCACCTTTCTGAGAATTATTATTATTATTGTTTCATTTTTACATTCAAGTGCCTCAAAGCAACTTACACAGTAAAGCAAAATAGCAAGGATGTTACCCTTTGTTGAATAGTGTACAACAATCCTTAGTTCTCAGTGAGGTGTTGGACTTCACAGATTGCAGATGGAGGCTCATCTGAGGGAGTCTTGTTCAGCATCAAACAAATGTAATAGATCCCCCTGCCTGTTGAAAAGTAACCTTTTTTTGGGAAAGAGTTGCGGATTTTCTCTCTCATGCGTTCTTCTCCCCCCACCCTTGTCTGTATTGACTTACTTCAATTTGTATTTTCTCTGTACTGGAAAAAAGAGTCGTAAATTGTTTTATTGATTTGAAGTACTTTTGTCCCTGCTGATTAAAAGGTGCTCAGAGCAGCTTATGAAAACCTGTAGTAAGATATTTCTTACCCTTACAATTGAAAAGACATGGCAAACAAGAAATATGGGTTGGGGAAGGAAGAAGAAAAAATGTAAACTACAGTTCTGAAAACAACCATTGGAAACACAGGTGTATATTCCCAGGAGTGCTGCTTGAGGTATGGAAAAACGTCATGCTGTTTTTTTGTTTTGGGGATAGAAAGTCACATGACTTGGAAGAACCAGGGTCAATCATTGCTTAGTACGGAAATTCACTCTAATTTTGGCCCAATCACTGTCTTTTTGCCCAAACCACCTCTCAGGGTTGTAGTGAGGATAAAACTGAAGGGCCACACACCACATATGTAACTTTGATTTCCTGGGAGGAAAGGGGAAACTTCAGTTGTAACAAAGTGATACAAGTTCAGCGATCCTTGCTAATGATAACCCTTTTGACGTCTGCTGGGAGCTTCGTGTGTGCTGCCTTGAATTCCGTAGGGAAAGATGTGATAGTGACGTTACATAAATATTTTTTTAGTTCTTGACTTCAGCTTGAAGCAGTACACCTTAGGCTTTCTCTACTAGTGTGGGCCATTATGTAGAACAGGCATCCCCAAACTTGGCCCTCCAGCTGTTTTGGGACTACAACTCCCATCATCTCTAGCTAACAGGACCAGTGGTCAGGGATGATGGGAATTGTAGTCCCAAAGCAGCTGGAGGGCTGAGTTTGGGATGCCTGATGTAGAAGAACTGTCCTTGTATTTTGTGGTTTATTTATTTATTTGAAAAATGAAAAATGCAAGGTGGAGGGAGTTGTCACTTTATTTCAGTTCAAGACCCTCACAGGGCAAAGAGCAGCTGGGGGAGTAATTTTGATCAGCAAAACAGCACCACAATAGTGCTGCCATTGTGGACAAATTGAGACCCCTCTATGGTTCCTTTCAATTTATTCTTTAAAAATGTAACCATGGATCTCCATCATAACATACAGTTGGCCCTAAGGAAAGTCTGTGCTTAAATTTGCACAACTGAGTGGATTCCAACGTGGGCTTGTGCAGGAGATCAGGCAAGTACCTTTGAACGATGATAGCTCCACACATTTTCTTTTAAGTCTGTCAGGAGTGTAATCAACTTTTGAATTTAGCAGCACCTTTAGCAGCTATTTGGTCAGTAGCAATCAGGTAATAGTGTTTGTCTTCAAGTCCTTGAAACTGTCCACCTGCTTATTCTGCATACCAAATAAGAGCAGAAGAGGAGATTAGGATTCCCACTCCACCCCCGCCACAACCGCAGCTGCAAACCTTTTTTTAATTCTTAACTGGGCCTGCATCTTTACACAGAAGCCTGGCATGAGAAAATAAAGTTGGCAAAGAAGTTGTTCCTTGCTTTGAGGTAAAGTAATGGGGAAAGCTTAATCACAATCCTTATACTCTGCTAGACAATCCTGTCTACTCACCTTTGATTTCAATGGAGCTTACCTTATACCTTGGTATAAGATAAACATCTATTTCCATGTTGAACTGCACATTAAATGCACAGGAGGAGGGTTGGTGTAGAAAAGCAAGAAAGGAACGGCAATCCTTTTTATTCTTTTACATTGGGCGAAATGACTTTTCAGGGTGCATAGTTGCATTGTGTGTTTGTTTATTTTTCTGCAGTGGTGAGGTTCAAAAACTTAAGTTCTGAAAATGAAGTTGTGTTACACACCAAAACCCCAAACTATCCCCAGCGCTTTACAGTTCTGTAATGAGTGAGCTTTTCATGATATGTGTGGGAACTCTGTGGATGGAAGCTCTGTACTCGGGACTACCTGTCAGCAAAGGACTGATTTGTTTGTATGTTATACCTTTTTATCTTGCCTTTTAAAAAATTCATTTTCCCCAGGACAATTTTTTTTAAAGGAGAAAGCTCTATATTATGATTTGCCCTTGCCCTTTCCACCAAACATAGGGTGGATAGATGAA